GGAAGGAAGGAAGGAAGGAAGGAAGGAAGGAAGGAAGGAAGGAAGCCATAAGCCAAAGTTAGTTGTTGTGACAGTCCAGGTTTATTCTATTTTTCTGACTGGCTGGCTCACACATTTTGGACTCTTTTGACTGCTACCATCACCACCGCTTCATAGTTTTGATCTTTACAACAGCCCTGTGAAGTAGGCTAAGCCCAGATTGTGCAAGAGTTAACGGTATAGTATTTCTTCCGCCAAATTTGGCTGTTCAAGATTTCTTTGCCTGTCTTTGTTTGTGTTGCCATAACAACTATCTCCCCACCGTGAGCAGCTGAAAAGAATTGCTGCCAATGTTTTATGCCTAGTGAAATTGTGGGGTCCCCCCCTTTAATATCCTTTGTTGACAGCTGCTGAAGTGTTCAGCTGCTGGAAAGGGAGTTTTGGACCGATATGGTTTACAGTTTTGAGAAAGTTTAGGACTGTGTTTTAAACACTGCAAAATCCCTATATGCGATGTGGCAGATGGCCCAATCAAAAAGATGGCTGGGAATAAAACCATTTTATATTTTTTAAAATGCTCTTGGCCATTTGGAAGAATTATGGAAGAATTTGTAATTGAAATAAAATGAAAATCCATGAAAATAAACTTCAAATCGGGATGTGGAGTTATGGAAAGCAAAGAATGAGAAACCAGAGAGAAAAAATTAGATTTTTTTTCTGGGTTATGGTGGTTTTTGTAAAGTCTGGTGATCTCTGAGCTTGGTTGTTTTCTTGCAAATGTTTCATTACCAAACTGGGTAACATCATCCCAGGTCTGAGGCCCTGTTGTGTGTGAAGGGCCCCGTTTCCCAGCTATATTAACATCCATAGCAACCATTGTACTTAGTGTTGTATATATTTATGCAGTGATGATGTTACCTAGTATGGTAATGAAATGTCTGCAAGAAAACAACGAAGCCCAGAGAGCACCAAGGACCCCACAGTCCTCCTCCTGCTCCTCCTGCTCCATCTCCTCTTCCTTCTCCTCTTCCTCTCCACAAACCCCACTCCCTTCTAGCATTGATGATGTTACCTAGTTGGGTCATGAAACATCTGCAAGAAAACAGCCAAGCTCAGAGAGCACCAAGGACCCCACAGTTCTCCTCCTCCTCCTCCTCTTCACAAACCCCACTCCCTTCTAGCACTGATGATGTTCCCTTGTTGGGTCATGAAATGTCTGCAAGAAAACAGCCAAGCTCAGAGAGCACCAAGGACCCCACAGTTCTCCTCCTCCTCCTCCTCCTCCTCCTCTCCACAAACCCCACTCCCTTCTAGCATTGATGATGTTACCTGGTTGGGTCATGAAATGTCTGCAAGAAAACAGTTAAGCTCAGAGAGCACCAAGGACCCCACAGTCCTCCTCCTCGTTGTCCTCCTCTTCCTCTTCCTCTCCGCAAACCCCACTCCCTTTTAGCCAGGGCTTTTTTTTGTCATAGAACGCCCAGAACGGAGTTCCAGCACCTTTTTTGGATGGAACCTTGTAGGATAGGCAAGGGGGGTTGTATGATATGTGTGAGTTCTGGTGTTTTTAGCACTGATGATGTTACCCAGTTGGGTCATGAAACGTCTGCAATAATGTGGTGGTTCCTCCTTATGAAACATAATTCCTGCAGAGATAAGATTGGTCTCTACCTTGGC